CTAGTCAGGCCGCGGTTGTTCCTGTGAGCGTGTCTTGACTGGCAGGTTGGTCTGGTAGCTTACAGGACTCGTAGCTGGGCAACACTGTTGATGACTTTTCTCCATAAGCAGTTTGCAAAGCACCTTCTGGACCTCTGAAAGTCAACCAGTAAGGAAAAAATATTCAGATTATTTCCGGCTTGATTTCTCTATGTCCTGAAATCTACGTATGAATGTCTTCAACCACAGGGTCTTAGCATCCAGTTCTGGTGGGTCACCAAGAGCAAAGGAAATAGCCTGCATTGTTTTGGAGGATCCAGGAGTCCCTGACAAACAGCTCATAGGAAGGTGCCTTCCACTGGGTTTTCACTTACTAACCTGTGGCTTATGGAAGCTACATTATCCACCTCTGCAGGGTACCTCCATCAAGTCCTTTTTAAAAATAATTATATTTTTTAATTGGCTTTAAAAAATGTTAGATTTCCAAATGGCTTTTCCATGTGTCCTTCATTTTGGGTTAACTTTTCCCCCCATCTCCTTTTCTCCCCATCCTGATTAAACCTTTTCACCCCACCCCGGGATTCTTGCCCATCTACTTCGTTATCACGTATGACCTACAACTTCTCCCTCGAGGTTTTAAAGACAATATTCTACTTCTGTATTGCCTTCTTTTTACCCATGTGTGTGAGTGTGTGAGAGACGTGTGTGACTGTGTGTGCGTGCTTTAGTGTGTGAGTATGGGCAGGCACATGTCACGGCACACCTGAGGTCAGAGGACAGCCCCTCAGGTTGACCCTCACCTCCCAGCTGGTTTGAGACAGGGTCTTGGGACTCACTGCTGTGTACACTAGGCCAGATGGCCCGTGACTTTCAAGGATTCTATCTCTGCTTCTCATATCTCGGTAAGAGTGCTGGAATGCGAGGGGTGTGCTACCAGACCCAGCTTAACGTAGGTTCTGGGGATCTGAACTCGGTTTCTGGCACTGGAATGGCAAGCGACTTTACCCGCTGGGCTACCTTCATTGACCCAGAGACCGTATATAAAGGTAAAAGGCGAACTAACTCTTCAATAACCAATGCTGGGAAAACAGTCTTGATAACATTACATTCTTCCCTCACCTAAGTTCAAAAGAGGTTTCAGATGGATAAAAGATGAATCACAGAAAATGACAGGATCCAAATCCTAACAAAAACATGGAATTGTTTAAAAATAGCTTTGAATAAAGAAGGCCTGTGTATGACACAAAATAGTAACGAATTAAAAGATCCTTTGAACTAGGAAGACATTTTTTTTTTCCACAGCGAAACACTGCATGATATAGTGATTTGTATCTCCCCTACAAAGCGGTAATTTTCATAGTAAGATTCCTTCAAACCTGTAAGAACAAACAGAACAGGGACAATTTAAAGGAAATGAAGGTGTCCACCCCGTCTCATAGTAGGAAGAAACCACAGAATAGACTCCAATTTCTGTGCGTCAGACTGCCAGAAACGACATGACAGAAGCAAATGATGTAATTTGTTAGGAAAGGAGAATCAAGCCCCTCCTGTACACTGCTGTGGGAGAGTAAAGTGTCTTGTGATTCATGGAGAATAATTTAGCCAAATTCTCTACTATTCAAAGATCTCCATTCACGAACTGATCCTAAAGAGCAGTGAGATGACTTGGTGAACGAAGTTGTGCAAGCCTAATGACTGAGTTTGATCCTTGGGTCCCACGGTAGAGGAGGTGTCCTCCACACAACTACCATGGCACGTGTGTGCACACACTCACACACGTCATGCACTCACAGAGACCCAATAATACATAAAATAGAAACATTGTTTCAGTAAATTGATCCTAAATGTAGTCTTGCGAAGGCACAAATTCACATTTACCCAAAGACAAGTGTCAAAGCCATTTTCCATGTCACATGATTACAAGCCATCCAGTTGTCCCTCAAGAGAGGACAGGGGTGAGCACTTGCTACATTCACATCTTGTAACACTCAGCTTCTGTTGATGTGGTAGTTTTACATGAACTAATGCAAAATGATATCCAGGATATCATTTACTGAGGTTGGAGAGCAAAGTAGGAAAAACATGCATAACATTTATTTTGTTTTTTAAAAAAAATATTATTTTGATTTCACATATGAGTTTTTGCCTGAATGTATGTATGTGCATGTGTACCTGGTGCCTGGAGATGCCAGAAGAAGGTGCTAGGTCACCTGGAGTTAAGGACAGTTGTAAACTACCATGTGGGTGCTGGGAATGGAACCCAGGTCCTCTGCCATGCTCTTAAATGCTGAGCCATATCTCCAGTCCCAGCATTCATTTTTTGAGACTAAGCCTAAGGTGGCCTCAGACTCACCATGTGGCTCAAGCCTTCAATAGTGGCTTCTTGCTCCACCTCCTGAATGCTAGGATCGAAAGTGTGTGATCCTGTGTTTATCTCCATTTATGTGTGCCCAGACTCACTCCTGAAGAATACACAAAATCTGTGGCAGAGATTGTTGCTGTGGCAGCAACAGCTGAGTGAGTGGGACTTAGGAGGATGGATGGAGGCAGGCTTGGGAGGGAGATCTGCCAATAAAATCCATTTTTACAGTGAATTCTTATGTATCTACATATGTAAGGTTAGCTACTCAAACAATAACTGAAATAAAATGTGGAATATCCCTTTACACTGTGTGAATATATGTCACTGTGATTGGTTTAATAAAGAAGCTGACTGGCCAATAGCTGAACAGGATAAGGTTAGCGGGAGAGCCAAACTGAGAATGCTGGGAGGAAGAAGGGTGGAGTCTGAGGAGTTGCCAGCCAGGCATGGGAGAAGCAGCCTAGAAAGTACATAGATGAGGTGAACCAGCCTCGGGGCAGCACATAGAACAATAGAAATGGGTTAATATAAAATTTAAGAGTTAGTTAGTAATAGGCCTGAGCTATTGGCCGGGATTTTATAATTGATATTAAGACTCTGAGTGGTTACTTGGGAGTCAGCTGGCGGGACAGAAGAACTCCATCTACAATAAAATCTTAAACTGCCTCTGGAAGAGAAAGAAAGAGATGGAATGATAGAATGATATTTGTTCCCTGAGCACAGACTGTGTACCCAGAGGGAGGAAGTGAAACAGTAAAAAGCCAGGAGAGTTTGGAGTGTGTCCTTCTAGTGAGTGTGCTCTTGTGGCACCATGGAATCCCCAGGTGAGAAAGTCTAGAGAATCTTCTGTGCAGCGTTTCTTCTGTAGCAGAGGGAAAGACAGTCACCGAATAGTGAACATTTGCTGAAGAGAGATGGGGATCACCTGCAGATATTAAAACAAGAACTCAGGGAGAGCCTGTTTTGGAGCTGGCTCAACCCCAGACAAGCCTTCCTCCTCCTCCTCCTCCTCCTCCTCCTCCTCCTCCTCCTCCTCCACCACCACCACCACCACCACCGTCACCACCGTCACCATCATCTGACATGCCTGGTCCTGCTGCTACTGGGAACATCTTCCCCACCAACTGTACCCTCCTCCAGCCCAGACTTCATCCAGAGCAGTAGCTGCTGCTGCCCGTGTGCCCCTTGGACCTCTAGAATCTGGGGCAATGCCTAGATCTCACAGCAAACCCATCACACTCTCCATCCTTTTGGGACCCACAGTTTCTCTTTGTCATCCACACACTATCAGATGTAAAAATGTCCTTCCTGGAAGACTCCCGGCCCTGGGTCAGATGGTTAGACTGCCCACTGCATTCCAAGTCTCACTTCTTACTTAACCCCCAAGTCTCATGGATGATGATACAAGTGTTGGTGGGTGTAATCTTACTCCTCTCCAAGGAGTGTCTGTCTGTCCGTCTGTCTTCAAATCACAGCTCTCGCTTGATCTCACAACAGTTCCATGAGGAAGAACTCATCTCTAGTTCTGAACCAGCAGCAAAATCTTTGATTGCAGGTTTGTTTTCCAAGTACTTTTCTATGCATTGTTTTTCTGCCTTCCGACAGGCAGGGAAATGTCAAGCCCAGGCACACAGTGGTCCTCTCTGGAGAGGCAGCTGTGGATGCAAACAGGAGTGTCTGAATCCTTAGCCAATGGATTCTTTTGGTTGATGTTGGTTGGTTTTATGGAGATGAGGCTTGACTGTGTTGCCCAGGCTGGCCCGGAACTCTCTCCACTCTTCTGAGTTCTGGCATTACAGGCAGGCATGCACCACCGTGCCTGGCTTTTAATGGATATTTTACACCATTTCATCAGGAATAAAAAAGGAAGCGCATCAATAACACAAAGAATGGAAACCAGTTCAGATTTCTTGGGGGGCAAAGGGACAATTCTTTGCTTCCTGGAGACACATCTGCCTAATAAAATATAGTCAAATTACCATGTTTTAATTTCTCTATGTGTAGCATTTTATTTTCATTTTTAGAGATTTGAACCTCCTTGATGCTAACTAGTGGCCCAGTGGTCTCATCTCTCATATCATCTCATCATATCATCTCCCCATTTTGCAGATGAACATTTTGCTAGTAAACACATGGGTAAAGACCCACTCTTGTTGACAGACATGTCACATGCTAGAACTTAAAACTCCCGGCAGTCAACTTTTTACAATGTGCTGTGGATTTGTTTATGACGAAGCTGTTTGCTTTTCTGTAGGTAGGGCAGAAAAACGGTGGTTCCTCTAAGGAAGTTAGGAAATTAATGAGACATTTATGGGTAAATTCTCCCTTGAGTGGAGGAGAAAGATTCTTCCATCTATAACTTAACTCCTCTAGGAGATTGGGGAATTAGCAATTGGATTGTGGTGTCAGAGCATGAAGGTGTAATTCATGGATGATAGAGCCAATTGCCAGTCCCCAAAGCCAACATGCTTAAGCACCTTGCACACTGTCCATTTCTTGCAGAGTGAACCAAGACGCCATTATGTTCTTCGAAACTACAAATGGATGTGGACAGAGATGTTATTTTCTGAGTGAATTAACAAGTTCAAAAACCACAGTCTTCCTAGACACAGACCTGGAGTAACCCTGGGCTGCTTTTTTTGTGTTTGCTTTGAGACAGGTTGATTGACTTATGTGCAGTTTGGGAGCCTGGAGTTTTCTCGCCCTCTGCAGACTGGAGCGGAGCCTCCACTGGTGCGGCCCAAAGCAGGCCGAATGAGGCAGAGAAGGTACGCACGGGACTCCGGACTGAGCATGAGTTGGAGGGTGGGGTAGGTGGGAGTGGACATTGTTGCCCCCTCTCCTAAGCTCTTTACCTGGTCCCAGGAATCTTCAAGGACTGGGCTCCTTCCTTCTCCCCAGGCGTGGAAGCCAGGAGTCAGCTGCAGAGCCCAGCCCTGATGAGACCTGCCCTCCAAGGAGGCTATGCTGGGGCGACTCTGGCCCCTGCCCTAGGAGGGGCAGTCAGCTGGCATTTAGTTGCTGCCTTTGTCTCTCCTGTCCACCTTAGCTGAAAACTTGGAAAACAGCTTTGTTAATGACCCTTACTGCTTTGCCTGGGCCCCCACACCCCGGACACTTCCTGAGCGACAGCCCTGGCAGATGGGGGGCAGTCTGAGAGCCCCTCCTCCGGGTGGGGCTCAGGGTCTTGGCAGATGGATGGCTGTCCAGGGTGCAAAGAGCAAGGAGGCTCACAGCACTGAGGCCACACCCTGCACCCTGGGTCTGCATTGTTCTCTTCTGGAGTAGAGTTTCTGCTGCGCAAGCTGCACCTGCCTTGCCCAGAAAGGCTGGAGGCCAACGCCCACCACGAAGTGAGGGCTTCACTTGCATCAGAGCCATCCAGGACCGGAGGCTGTGGGGGAGCGTGGCTGACAGTGGGCGGAGAAAGGTCCTTTTCTTTTTGAGTTTGGTCATCTCTGCCACATGCCTTTCTTGTTCTAGCATCCTCGGAGCCTCTCTCTGTCTTCCTAGAGGCTGAGGAGGCAAAAGAAGAGATGCAAAAGACAGAGTGTGAAGGTGGCATGGTACGGGGATCCAAGTAGTAGTCTCCGCGTGGGCCGCCTTTGGGCTACAGAACTGTGAGCGTAGGGAACCCCTGGGGAGACCTAGCTGATTCTGGGGTCTTTTTCATCCCACCATTGTGAAGAACTGAACCGGAACACACCCCCTTCTTTCTTTTTCTTTATGGGGGAGACTGACAATGAAAGCGGTGTTAGTTTCTTGGACATTGTAGGGAAAGTTCTCCAAGATGCAGCGGAGCCAGAGTTAGTTCAGCGTTCGGCCCCCATGGCCCCCTCCGGGCACTTGGTGGTCACCCTCCCTACTCCCTAATCTCCTCTCCTAGCGTCCCTTCCTGGCCTTCTTGGACCCAAACACACTGGAGCTTGGAGCCCACTCACTGTGTGTGAGGTCTCTGATCTGAGCATGCGCAGTCCAGCTGTGTCTCAGCTGTGGCAGTCTAGCCGGCAGTCCTCAGCCCTGGCTCGGTTTCCCGTCCTTCAGTCCTTCATCACGTTCATGGTGTGCCACTGAGGGCTGGGTTGCTTGCCATGACGCCGCACTGCACAGCCAGACGGCGTGAAGAGGAAACACCTTGCAAAGACTGATGGACACAGAAGAACCCGAGAGAGTGCACAGATGACATGTGACTGTTGTGGGAAGAGGACCCTCCTGGGCCCTTGGCCAGTGACAATGGTCATCCAATAGTGTATATTGGAGTGCTTCTGCATATGGAGCCTTGTGCTCTGCACACACACGCAGCTCTCATGTTCTCTCACAGCAGCCCTTCAAGACAAGACTCCTTAGTACTCAGCTTTCCCTGATGACAGACTCAAAGCCACAGAGGTTAAGGACTTGCCAGAGCCTCCCCTGAGACAGTGCCATGCCTGCGTTTGGGTCCCCGCAGTCCAACTCTGGGTTCTCTGTGGCTCACTTTAGGTTTGGGGCTGAGGGGTTTTCGAGCATGGTCTGTCCAGGTTCCATGAGAACACTGGGTGGGGATTCTGAGCAAATGTCCACCGGGTCCCAGATGTGACTCCGACTTGGTGGCTCCAGCTGGGAGGGAGCCCTGTCCTTCAGCTCTCCTCTGCCTCTTGTCCCTTTGTTCTCAGCCCACTGCCATCTGGAGCTGCCCCAGGCATCTGCTCCTGGGCTCTACCCTTTTCCTTCTCCTCCCCTCCCAGCAGGAGGAACCTTCCTGTGCCCAGCCCCTCAACTCATTGTCATCTGGGGTCACTCAGAGCAGACACCTGTCCTCTGACTCATGCAGGGAAACCACCCAGCTTCCCCAGGCCTTCAATTTCACAAATGGATCCATTTGGTTAATTGCCCTCCTCCCCCTAAGCCCCTCTGCCTGTCAGCCACAGCCAGCCTCCTCCCCACAGGCCCCACAGACACAGTGCATGCCCAGGACCCCAGCTGTGGATACAGGAGACCAGGGCTGTGCACTTCATTGGTGACGGACTTCCCAAAATTGATTCTGGGCTATCAGCATTTAGCCATCTTTGCCCACGGATGCTGAGACAGGCAGGGGTAGGTGTGGGCTGTGGTTGGCAGCAGTAACAGCTGGGACCCAGGAGCTCCTGTGGTCCACCTTCTTTCCGCAGGAGCAATGGATCACATCTGGTCTCCTTTCAGCTTTTTACAATGTTCTCCTTTTGTTTTGAGCTGGCTTCACATTGTAGTCCAGGCTGGCTTCCACCTCCTCTTTCTCCCAAGTGCTGAGATCACAGTCTCGCCTAGCTTCCCCGGGGCCCTTTCTGCTAACCCAAGCCCATCTCACTGGCAGAGGCTGGAGACACCGTGTCCCACCCTGAGTTCTGCTTTCTAATGCGGCAGCCCGAGATTGTAACAAAGCTTCTCCACCACACACCGCCACCAGCACTTCTCACAACCAGACTCCTGGCCAAATGGCGCGACTGAAAACTCGGGAAAAATCTCCCCGTCTGCTGCCTCCCCTCCCCCCTGTTTGCAGCCCCCTCCCCACCTCCTGTTTTCACATTTTCCTGTCTGTGGGAGCCTGCCGGCCGGCCGGGATGGCAGTTGGAGGCAGGCTGCTGTCTGCCTGCGATGTAAATGCAGAAGGCTGAAGGAGGAGGGTGGGCAGTCGTAGCTCCCTCCTGCTGGCTTCATCCTCTCCTTCTGTGCCCCACTTGTCACAGCAGACAGGAATTTTAAAAATGCAGTGGGGGTGCCCGTCTTTGGAATATCCGCCGCAAACCCGCGATTGGCTCCGAATGGAAGTCCCATCGGAGCTGAGTCCGCTCCATGGATGGCCAAGGGGCTGGGTCCTGGGGGACGGAGCTGGTGGGAAGAGGGGTGTGGGCTGCTTTGGAGGCAGGTGGGTCAGAGCAGGGAGGAGGAGAGCGAAGGTGTAGTGGCTAGTCTGGGATCCTCCAGGGGCCTCCTGTTCTTATTGGGTGGAAGTAGGTAATACCCATGCCCATAACCTGGCGCTGGTCCTAAGAGTGAATGGTGGCTCCTTGGGCATCAGGCCAAAGGGGAGTGGTCTGCACGGGCATCATCTTGCCTACAGATAGACGAATAGATGTGAAAGCCCAGGTTGTCCAAAACCAGGTAGCAAGGCAGTGCTCCCGTTGTGACTGGCGGGGAGGATGGTACTCTGGCATTTCTTGAAGGGAAGGTGTGTTTGGAGGCTTGGGTTAGAAGCTCGTGGCTTGACCAACTGTCACAGCAGTCCTGCAATAGATGAGTGCATACGCCCCTCTCCTATAGACAGGAAGATCGTGGCTTTGAGAAAAAACAGTAAGCACCTGTGTGGTGTGGTAGGTCTGCAACTCTAAGCCCAGGCCCGTTGTGTGCCGGGGAGATCTCACATCACTTTTGTTTTGTTTTTCTGAGACAGGGTTTCTCTGTGTAGCTTTCGAGCCTGTCCTGGAATTCGCTTTGTACACCAGGCTGACCTCGAACTCACAGAGATCCGCCTGCCTCTGCCTCCCGAGTGCTGGGATTAAAGGTGTGCCCACTTTTTAAAGTTCAGTCTCCCAAGTAGGGATCTGGCACGTTCCCTCTGCTCTCTGTGGCCCCTGGCTAGTTATTAAGCTCATCTCAGTTCAGTTCTGCACTGACATTCCCTTCTGTTATAGGCTGGGGACATAGAAGACATCTCTCTTGCTCACAAAAAGCCCATAATCTGGTGACTGAAGTCAAGGTCACCTCTCTTCCCTTACCCTACATTCTTCTAGAATTTTGTCTAGTTTATTCTCTGCTAGAATCAACCTGCTTTCCAACTGCCTTTAGAACAGTGCCCGGCCTGTTCTAACTAGGCTTAGATTCCCCCACATGGTGTGCGTGTGCGCGTGCGCGCGCGTGTGTGTGTGTGTGTGTGTGTGTGTGTGTGTGTGTGTGTGTGTATGTGTGTGTGTGTCGTGAATAGAGGTGTCCTTGGGTGCACTATGGTCTGGACCTCAAATGGACACCCACTGGGCGAGCCTGAGAACCTACCATGCAGTGCTGGGTGTGGGGCACCAAGGTTTGGAACGGAGAGGACAGGGGACTTTTGGAAAGGGAAAGGTGTTGCTTACCTAGAGTTACCTTCCCTTTATCTTGAAACCGCACGCCCTCTTAGCCTTTTATTTTCAATTTTATAATTTTCTCCTTAAAAAATTTCTTTGGTGCCATTAATACAAATAGTTGATATAATTCCTTCTAACATTTGAAACTTAAACTTAATCATTCATTTTCCTTTATGAAGTACCACATTTTTTTAAAAAAACCAAAGCCCTCTATGTTCTCTTGTTAATGTTTTTAATCACTGCTTTGGTGAGATGTAATCCACATACTATAAATGTGTCCCTATAACACATACAGCTCAGTGATGGTTCACGTATATAGTGCCTCGCTAGGGTCTAGTGTCAGCTTCCAACAGCTGAATTTTTGTAACTGTATCACCATTCCCAGGAAACCCCACAAGCCATATCATTCTAAGGTTGGCTTTTTTTTTCTTATTCTTTACTCTTTGGGGAACCCACCACCCAACTCCCAAATAATCACACGGAGACTTATTCTTTCTTATGAATGACTGGCCTTAGCTTGGCTTCTAGCCAGCTTTTCTTTTTCATATATATATATATATATATATATATATATAATTTTACAATACCATTCAGTTCTACATATCAGCCATGGGTTCCCCTATTCTCCCCCCTCCCCACGCCCTCCCCTTACCCCCAGCCCACCCTCCATTCCCACCTCCTCCAGGACAAGT